CGAAACGCGAGTTGAGATTGACCCAATTCTTTAGCTGTTTCATTCTTGGAAAACAGGAATGATCTTAAGAGTTACGACAATTCAAGCCAAGCAAAATAGGAATTGAAGCCTGAAATTTAAACTTAAAATATAGCTTAAATTCGACCACATGCACTACTTCAGAAAAACCGCGTCTAAACGCAGGGGACTAGTCTTTTTTTTTTTCTTTTTCTTGAAGGATGAGCTTAGATAATTTATTTGGGAACATCTCTTAGAGAGCACTGAATGACATCCCAAAAGTTACGCGCCCATGAGCTTGAAAGTAGACGAGGATTGTTCAAGCGTTTTGCAGGTTCAACATAAGCGTTTGATGCTGGAGGCGAGCAAAGACGATTTTGAAAACCCACTCTAAACTGAAGTTTTCAAAGGGAAAAACCTATAGCCGTAAAACGGCGAAAAAAATTCGTCGTTAGGCGTAGAAGTCGAGTGGCTATAGTATCTAATTTCTTCTTACAATATTACCACTGAATCAAACATTAAAGTCACAAGAATAAAGAAAAGATTCACCAGCTAAAGAAGCTCTTGATTGTTGAGAAAATTCTACTTGTCAGCACCTCAGGAGAAGTATAAAGAACAGTACAGAGAAAATAAAAAAACCAGGAGTATAATCTGCACTAGAGGTCTGAGTTCTTGAGTTTCTATCTAAACTTTTCTTCAGATAACATTGCTCGTCCTTTCGCAGCTCATCCTAATATCAGTCAAATATACCCTATCAGAAACACTGTTATATTGATAGCTGTCATGTTTGGCGAAGGAAATCTGCCAAAATTTGAAGGATGTTGACTGTCAAGATTCTTGCGTGCTTGAATTACGGATCAGGCAATACTTTCGGCTGATCTTATTAGGGTAAATGTCATCACACGAAGACAATGTCTGGGTTTTCGGTGGGATGCACTTGAAACTTTCCTCGGAAGGTATCCGGCGATGATAGGTTTCTTTATTCATCTATCTATTGTTTTATTCACAAGTTGATCTTTTCCCGTCGACTTTGTATATCACAGGTTGTTTGCCATACCGAAGAATGGTTGTGAAAGTAGTCATTAGCCGGAGTACGTAAATGCCGAAGAAACATGAAGCTTCAACTGGCGTGAAAAGCCGGGAAATTGAGCCCAAAGGGTGCACGTGGTTGAGAGCAGGGACATTTTTCGTTATGCATGAATGCAAAACAAATACCACCAATTTATGATAATTTGAATTTCTCGAAAGGTCTTCCAGAATTCGTTCCGCAACACTTTCATACCCCAATGGATATGCCTTCAAGGTAATAATGATTTTTCCAGGAATCACATAATCAATCTGAAGCTTCCCTTCGAGGAAGCCTTCGCTCAAACTAAATTTTTTTCATAGAACCTCGCAAAAAGGCTTACGGTGGCTCGTCAAATAATCGTGACATGTGCTTACGTTTCTTTGGCTCAAAAGGCATTCACACAGCCTTGGGTTTCGCATGAACCCAAGCCAAGCAGGACCATACTTGTCTTTAATCTTTTCTACCTCGAAAATTAATAAGAAATGCGCTCCTCTTTATTTTTTGATGAGGGAAAGAAACTCTAAAAAATCTCAATAACACAAGACAGCTCATCAATGACTTGCAATTGACACCCAATATTTGCGATCTACGAGTCAATTTGAATAATCCTGTGTCACCTTGAACAAGGAGTTAACGTTAAAGAACTTTTCTACTAACCTGTCGTCAATGTGCACATAGTGTCTTAAACGAAAAATAATTTATATGGCTGAAGACTTCAAGCCTAGGGCAGCTTTAGTCCTTGTCATTTGAAACAAAGTCCTTATGTTTTGGTCTTCTTTCTTTTTCAGCTGGCAATTAACAATTTTGGGTCGAATGTCAGGCCAAGTTTAACATCATGGCACGCAAAATTCTTGTAGGAAAATCGACATAAGAGTTCCACGAACCTGTCTATACGTGCTCCTCTTTTAGCAAAGTTCAGTCAACAAAAATCCGAAATTTAATATTCGATGTTGTTAAAGTATTGATAAAATCTGATGAAAATTCACACCTTTTGCGGGTAATGAAAGCCTTTCAAATGCAAATATCGTTTTTGTTTTTAGCTTCATCTAGAACAGCGTTGTTTGACCTTTCGATACGACGATGAACGGTTGGTTGTCACATCATAAACACTAAATGTGCGAAACGCAGCGGATGAGAAGTGTGTTGGCAAAAAAAAATAATAACGTGAGAGAACGCAAAAACTGCGTTATTAACATGAACTTACCTTCGCTCTCCTGTTTTGCCTCGGAGTTACTACATCACGGGCGACAAGCTGGGGAAGAAAAATAGTCTGAAATATGAGTGGTCAGCGGTGAACTAGCCTTAATCGCTGAGGAGGAGACAAATCATTTGTAGTTGCAGTAAATAATCGTGTTATAGAGCCCGAGATTGTACCGATGTACATCGCTAAATAAAAGATCAAGCAATTTTTATAAAAGCGAAGACTGTAACAGTATTGAATTTACCGCTGTAATAACATTGGTGGCATGGAGAAAGGCATCAAGAAGAATTGAAGTTACGTTTGTAACTTGCTGCGTTACGAAAACAAAAGTATATTGACTTCCCATTGTCAAAAATGTCAATCAAATTTGACTTGAATCCAGTCCGTCTTTTCGGAACATAGAGTTAATATTTCAAAGCTAACTGAAACAATCAACCAGAGGATGAATTTAATGTCATTAAGAGACTTTAATCTACCAAGGTAAGTGATACAGTTCTTGGTCATCAGTCAAAATATATTTTTGCGAGCGTCACTGGTCCAAAATCGCAACGTGACGGATCCCACAATGGAGGATATCCCGGCTAGAATCAATTTTCGGTGGTTTTTGCTCGGTCCGTATCATACCGAGTGCATTTGTTAAATTGAATCAGGAAAAAGAAAAAACATTTTGGAAAACATAATTATTTTAACGAGTGGATATTTTGAGAGAATGTTTCCAATTAAACGATTAACCTTGATTAGAAATATTTGAGGGATGGTCAACACATAAGCTGTCTCTCGAAGCTCAGAGTTTCCCTCCTTGTATATTTTCGCAGAAAAAGGCAGGCGATTATTTCATTTGTAAGAGAACTGTGCCAGCTTAAAAATAACGAAAGTTCAAGCCAAGAAAATTTATCCTTAAAAAATATAGCTTGAATTCGACCGCATGCACCACTTCAGAAAAACCGCGTCTACATACCGGCACGCATAGGGCTGGTTTTTGTATCCTTTTTTTCTTGAAGGAAGAGCTTAGATAATTTCTTTGGGAATGTCTATTAAAGTGCACTGCACATCCCAAAAGTTAAGCGCCCATGAGCTTTAAAGCAGACAAGGATTGTTCAAGTTTTTCGCAGGTTCAACATAACCGTTTGATGCTGGAGGGGAGCAAAGACGATTTTGAAAACCTGCCCTTAACTAAAGTTTTCAAAGAGTGAAACCGTTAGCCGTGAAACAGCAAAAAAAATAGTGGTAAGGCGTAAAAAATTGACAAATTGTAACCGTTACTAGTAAAAAAAGTTAACCATATTTTTTTTTCCTGTTAACTTCCGTGTAAATAAACTAACTGTTAGCCATAAAATGGCCAAAATTTTAGCTGTTAACCGTAAAAATCATCGCCCCATTAATCCTTTTGTCTCCATGAGTGAGCAAGAAAGTATTTCTCCTCACAATATCATGAATTCAAATGGTGAGAGGAAAGAAAAATATCTATCAAGGAGTTATTAGTTGATCTAATACCAAATTCTCCAAACTAACATCATAAGAAATGTATGGCTGACAGTGAGGTGAATTACTTAAAAGATCCAAGAGCTAAAGGGTTGAGACCCTCAAAAATCTACTGATCAGTCGGTAGAGTCGATCGAATATACGGGAAACGCAGAAAAATGGCGATTGTTCATTCAGAAGCGTCCTTTCCAAGATCTTCGATTTTCGAAGACAACCAGTATCACCTGTACATGTCAATGCATGTTACCCTGCAGATTCACGTCAATAACCCGTGGCACTTTTGTATATGTTTTTATACGACATTCCTCTACCCCTCTGAAATCCTATGGCATTTCAATACTAGTTATTATTGTGTCAACAGGCTTATGACCAAAATGTGCGTATTGATGTGAAACAACTTATTTTTAGTTTAAACGAAACAACCTTTACAAAACTTAACAAGTACGTAAACTAAACAACCCCAAAACAATTGAGTGTCTATAGTGCGATTTGGTTTAACCAGGACAGCGTTAGATTTGTAAGATAAGGTCAAACATCCTCTTACGAAGGAGCATGTTCAAGTCTTGACAAAAGTAAAAGGTGATTGATAAATTATTCATTTATTTATTAAATTATTGTTTTACTTTGTTCGCACTTTGTTTCCGCAGTCGGTAAAATGAAAAACAAGGAAAACGACATTCAAACAACAGAGCACTTCTCTACAACAACGAGAGCTTCCAACTCCCACTACGCAATTTCTCTTCCTGAAATAGGGCTCAGCGACTCAGATTTCTTCATGCAAGAAACTGCAATCAGCATCGCAGTACCAGCGGTTATCAAAGCACCAACCATGTTGAACATAGGGACATACGATCTTTCTATATCTGCGACAAGACCTTAAAAAAATGTAATCAATAAAAATTAAGAATTTATCAAGACTGTGAAAACTCTTCCAATTGTCAATTTTGCCGATCAAAATTTTCCTCCGACGAATGTTGAGGGGATTCCCGGCCACTGTACATTTGAAAAGTAAACAAAACTGAACTTTACCTCCAAGAGCCGGACCACAAGCTGAAGCAAAACAACTGAGGCAGTTAAACGCCCCGATCCCCAACGGTCGCATTTTCTCTGGAAGACTGTTAATCACAGCAATGGGCAAACCACAACCCATTGCACCATCAGCCAAACCAAATACCACAAAGTATATCACGAGGCTCAAGTTTGTGATTGCGAAGGGTAGCAAGAAAGCAACCACACATTCAACACCAGTGGCTATTGAATAGATATAGAACATATTGATCCAAGTGACGTCGTTCAGTCGACCAATCATCGGCCGGATTAGCAAGGAAGTTAGACCACTGTAGATATACAAACGCGCAGCTCTACTCTCTTGGACTCCTCTGCCTTCCAAAAAACGAACCTGTAGCAGTAATCAAGTAGTTTTAATAACGCTGTAGCGTGACACGATGAGGTGTGGCTGGTAATGTAAAACACGGGAGATGTGCCACATAAAGTTTAATGCGAAAGCGTGACGTGAAGCAAGGGCCTCGCTAAGGGGGGGGGGGGGGGGGGGGGGGGGGGGGGGGGGGGGGGGGGGGGGGGGGGGGAGCCCGTGACCTTCTGTAAGTTAGCCTTTACGGTGTGGAGGTCGACATGAAAATCTGGTGAGTACCCCCTGTTTTTCTGGCCCTAACTCTGACCCTCCCCTCCTTTTAAAAAATCCTGGCTACGCCCCTGACGTGAGGTATACGAATGCGCGTGAAGATGGGAGTTATTTTGTTCATGATTGATATTTTATTACGTCGTGAAGAAAGCGATGTACGTGATCCAATCCGTTGAGTACTGGATGCAATTAACGATGTTTTCTGGGGATTTCACGGCCGAGACTTGAAACAAATTAAAAAACACAATGCATAAAATGCTAGGTGCGATGAGTGTGACTCTAGTTAACAAGTCATTTTTACCTACATTATACAAAGAGGGTTGGTTGTATGGGTATATTTCAGACTTACCATATGAAGAGTTGGAGTATAGTGGCCAAGGTAGTACACAAACCCAGCTATTGTTACGAGAACAAACACTTTTTGCTGGAGGATCTTAACATCCCAGAATTTATCACCCTTTGCTGAATCACTATTCTCCTCTTTCACATCAGAGTCCGGCTCAATTGGCTTATAAACAAAAGCTGAAATACAAGTAACGGAGACAATACCAGCCATAGCCAAAAATGTTCCTCTCCAACCAAATCTTACGAACAGCTCATGCACAACTGGGCTCATGATAAACATCCCTCCACCGGGCCCCATGGCTATGAGACCCAGACTAAGAGAGCGCCATTTCTTGAAGTATCTCGGTACTACTATGTAAGTCACCAGGTAGATGCCGCCGGAGCCAAAACCGAACAATAACCCGTATGTTAAATACATCAAGTAGAGGTTTGTTACTTTGGATGTGACAGCCAGACTAACTGCACAGATTATGGTTCCAACAAATGAGATAGCTCGAGCACCAAAACGACGATAGAGCCTAGCGATCAGTGGACCGTAAATGCCTATACCCATCATGGCGATGGATCCAACCCAAGCTGTTAAGAACATTGCAACACTCAGTTTATATACGCAACTTTAAAGAACCACAGGTGTCACTGAAGTTAATAATAATGTGGTGATGCGCAACACCAGGTATCTATTTATTCCCCCTCATATTTTTTGTTTATTAGCGTTGTTGTTTACAGATTTTTATGGAGGCTTTTATTTTACGCTGAGTGAACAACGCTTTGCGGAGAATTCGGCGCTATGTCCAAAGTAATAACTCACTTGAGAAGATAACCCTTAGAATGTGTGGTTGGAGGGAAGGATTTAACTCCCTGCCCTTACATCTTTTTTCATATGCCGTTTCTTTAATTGAATAACGATTGCAGCTACAACCTCAGCCTTACCTCATTACTAGGTACCAAATATGTGGAACTTACTTCCGGCCTTTCCACGTGGAAAAGTCAACTAGACAAAATTATTTACATGGCTAGTCTCAATATGTTGTTTTAACTCGACTATCACTGGAATGTCTTACCCTAAATATGCCCACCCGAGTCGAACTTATCAGAGACAAGTGAGTGACGTTCAAGGTCAGTAAACTCTCAAGGCAACCGTGATAAAACAATAATAAAATGAAAAAAGTTAAGAAACTGCGTCAATCAATGAAAACCAGGAATTTCACTTCCTTACAATAAAACAGACTCAGTCAATGACATTGTAAAAGACGAACAGCGATTCTAACCATAACATCAAGCGGGAAACGATCAGCGCTTGAGAGTCAAACAAACAAACAAACAAAGATAAAAGTCTATGCTTAGATTGAGTGTCCTTCTTCGTACCCGAGCTCGTTATCGACGACATATATGTGTAAATAAAGAAATTTACCTGATCTAGCTTTCCCTTGTTGAAACTCGTCCAAAATGGCAGGAAATAGAATTCCATAACTAAAGGTAAATCCACAAATTACGACGTTTGAGACAACAGCAGCAAAACACACCAACCAAGACCAACAGCCATCCTGATGAGGAGAAACATTTCTGATGCTTGTAACAACCTGAACAGGCTTTAAAGTTAGGCCTGTGTCTCCTTCTTCATCCATGAGTAATTATCTTCTGAAGGAACTGTGAAAACGGAAATGGATCACAAGACACCTTGAACAGATCAGTGCTAAATAATTGTTTGAAAAATCTTACCCCAACAAAACACGCTGCTCTAAAAAAAGGCATTTCTATTTTTTCGCTACTCAAGACACTTTTGGCATCGTTAATTCTTTAAGCGTGCTTGAAAAATGTTTACCAGCAAGAGAAATGACGTGGAACCAATGGCTGCATTACTCTCTTTTGATACCACTTACAAAACTTATCTCTGAAAGGTCTGTGTTGAAGCGCGCGAGTCTACAGAGAGCAACTCAACCTGGAAGGCAGAAATGCCAAGTTCCAAACACGAATTGCGTGTCTGTGTGTATTTATTTTTTTTTTATTTATTCATTTTTCTGTCTGTTTGAAATGTCACGCATCGAACGACGTTGCGAAGAACGGCCGCCAATTGAATGTGTTTAATCGAGTCAACTAACACCAAGAATAGCCGTCGAGGACTAAGAGATGAGTCTACATGAAGTACAACAGTTGAGGATCGACCAAAAATTTATTAATTTCAAAATAATGACGGCTACCCCCAATTCTTTATTAACGGCGGGGCTATTCCCGATTTAATTTTCATATAAGAACCGAATTTAAAAGGCAAGAGGTTTAACAAATATCGCTTTATATTCATCGTCCACAAATCCAAATCGATGCTTCCTGAGGCATATGATTGTAGTCCTTCTTAATGGGCATCTTCAATCTTGCAGTGAAATCTAAAGGTTGTTGATATCTTAAACAAAACCGATTGACCGTGGATAAATTATGCATGCTGTGCTTATCTAGTCGAGTAGCCTAAATTTCAAAATAGTGCTATGGCTTGGACTTGAAATGCACGAGCTTTGCTTACCTTACATTCACTATCTCTTTCGCTGGTAGATCGCCAAGTGATTAATAAATATATAGAACTGTTTAGCTACAAAAAAAAGGCTAACTTATGAATAACGAAAGTTCGAGCTAAGAAAAATAGGAATTTAAGCCTAAAATTTATGCTTAAAATATAGCTTGAATTCGACCGCATGCTCTTCTTCAGAAATACCGCCTCTACATACCGGCACGCATAGGACTATACTTTCTTTCCCTTAAGGGATGAGCTTAGGTAATTTATTTGGGAACATCTCTTAGAAAGCACTGAGTGACATCCCAAAAATTAAGCACCCATGAGCTTTAAATCAGACAAGGATGATTCAAGCGTTTCGTAGGTTCAACATGACCGTTTGACGCTGAAGGCGAGCAAAGACGATTTTTAAAACCTGCTCTAAACTGAAGTTTTCGAAAGGGTAATACCGTAAGCCGTAAAGCGGCGCAAAAAATTAGTCGTTGGCGTAATTGAGTTGCTATAGAATCTAACTTCCCCTTACAATATTACCACTGGTCTGAGTTCTTGAGTTTCTATCTCAACTTTTCAATTGATTGAAGTGTTGGTCCTTTCGCAGCTCATTCTAATATCAGTCAAGTATACTTTATTAAAAACACTATAATATTAATTGAAGTCATGTTTGGCGAAGGAAATGTACCAACTTTGAAGGACGTTGACTCGCAAGATTCTTGCGTGCTTAAACTACGGATCAGTAATAACTTTTGGCCAGTCTCAGGTAAGAGTTATCCGACGGAAATAATGTCTGGGTTCTTAGTGGGATGTACTTGAAACTTTCCTCGAAAGATATCCAATGATAGCTGTCTTTTTTTATCTATTTATCGTCTCATTCATGAGTTGATCTTTTCCCGTCGACTTTGCGTATCACAAGTTGCTTTTCATACCAAAGAATGGTTGTGAAAGTAAACATTAGCCGTAATACGTCGGAAAATCGACATTAAAGTTCCACGATCCTGCATAAACGTGTTCGTCTTTTAACATAGTTCATTCGGCAGAAAAATCCGGAAATTGAATGATGTTGTTAAAGTACTAACAAAATGTAATTAAAATTCACATCTTTTGCGGGTAATGAAAACCTTTCAAATGCAAATATTCTTTTTTTAGTTTTTAGCTTCATCTATCACAGCTGGTCGACATTTCGACGCGACGACGAACGCGGGTACTAAAAACACCAAATTTTAAACAATATTAATTACAAGCTGCCAGTCTTTGTGGAGGGTAAAATCGGTTGTGCATCATAGTAAAAAATTTAAATGTAATTTCGTCGTTTTCGACCATTTCAGAATATTCACACCGATATGGTGCAATGACCTTGTATTTGGTTGTCACATCATAAACACTAAATGTGCGAAATGCAGCGGATGAGAAGAGTGTTGGCAAAAAATAACATGAGAGAAGACAGAGATTGCGTTAGTTACATGAATTTACCTTCGCTCTCCTGTTTTTCCTGGTGAGTTATTACATCGCAGGCGACGAGCCGGGGAAGAAAAATAATCTGAAATATAAGTGGTCCAAGATCACACAGATCACGGTGCATGAAAGAAACGGAATTCTAGACGAGCTCTCAGAGAATTCCAAAACGTGCGCTATTTTAAGACCCGTGTAGGCACGTGGGTTATAGAGCTCTTCACTGAATGGCTCGTCTAACTGCACGGGCTTTTAGCGCGTACTATTCATCAGAAGGACATTTTTTTCATGGTAAACTCAAACGATGGAATTAAAACAGAAGTAGGTATTAATTACAATATGGATAATTGGGAACCCTGAATGCCTGCGATCAATGGCCGATCGATTTAACATTACAAAATCGATTTTATTTCGTGTTTATCGCAGAATTTGTAAAGCGATTGCCAACAATCTTTCCGGTCAATATATGAGGTACCTACTTGTTTGAAATTGAGCACCGCCGGGCAAAATGATTAATTTCGGATCCTTCGCCCAAAGGAACGCGTTGGATCAGTGATCCAATGATCCGTCTTTAGAAGACACAGATCAATGATCCGATGAATCCTTGTCCAGAGTGGATTTTATAGATCACTGATCTGAAAATGGATTTGCTCGAAAGGAACGCCACAGATCAGAAATCCTGATCCGGATTCTCCCAAAGGAACGCACCCTTAGTCGGCCTTATTCTGCTTAATCATAATACATTATCCCGCTTGACATATAAACCACAAGAGAATTTATATCTCTAGCATACCAGTATACCTTGCCAATTTTTTTTTCGAGCAGTTTTTTGCCGTATTAATTACAACTGAGTGCAACGACAATATCAGCACCTATGCTAGTTTAAATCGATTATATTTCTGGAATCACAACGTTTGTGGTTTATCTGTAAGTTGAGGCTTTCGCTTCGAGCAAAATACCGCGTGTAGTTTTGGTCCCAAAAATATTTCGTGACAAATACCTGCTAGTGAACAAGTCTTAATGTATTCCTAGGGCAGCATTGCCTAAAAATTATCTGATATCGGGCTTTCCGTGGAATAACAAGCACGGCTTTGAGTTCTATTCTTTCTCTCATATTATGATCACATTTCTTTCCACGTATAAATGTGACTCTCCACTTGGTTTCAGGGAATAAGGTGAACGCATGCACACTGCACGTCATGACACGCTCGCACGCTAATGGCATGACACGCTTACTGTGCAGATATGTGCATAAAAACAATTTATTTTGGAAAGCGTGTTCGAAGCCATTGTCCATATCTGGCTAACACAATAGAGCTTTGTTTCTTTAACACTCTAGATTTTTCTGTTTTGTTTTAACACGCTAAGTTAGATGATTTTAGATATATGAAATTCATATATCTGCACTGCGGTGAAGAAACGAAAATAAGAGATCCTCGCAGCTAACAACACTACTGACTAAGTTCCTTTGTTTCCTTAACACGCTAGCCTATCTTGTACAACCCAGCTTACTTTGTTACTTGTGTTTGTCAGCTTCTTAATTGTGAGAATGGTGTTTGTAAAGTATATCACTTATAGAATTTATGCGGAAATGAAGATCTTTTCTCGTGATCGAAAGTTCTAGTAAAATGGAAAAATTCACGGCAAGTCACGGCTCTTTCCCTCAGGATTTTCACAGTGAGCACGACGTGTTCCACAAGGTCCAGAGGAGCTCAGTTTGAGCACATGAATTACTTTTTTAAAATTTAATTCTTACCTTGTAAAATATAACTCCTTATTGCTTCACGGAGTTATTATGCCCAGTACCGAATCTTTGGGAATCCTTTAGCAACAAATTTCCGGCTCCATGTCTCCTGATCGACGCGGTCGCTGTTCGTCACTTCATGCAAATCTGCATTTTAAAAAGAAGTAACAGCTAGTTAGTCAGCGCAAAACGAACCTTTCCGAGCGAAGCCGCGTGTTATTTACTGTACGCTGATCTTGGCATCTTTCGAGCTCTTAGTCTTGAGCACTGCGGTATTTACCTTGCGTAACGCAACTGCAACGTCGATATATTCTGTTATGTTTGGCAATTTAGCGACCGAAGTTGCACTGGATATCGAGTATCGTATCGGCCGGGCGTATCGGTGAGCTGAAAAGCCTTACAGCTTAGGATGTACTTCTTGTGCAAATCGAAAGCAACTTAAACTTTAAGAGGCGTGTTATAAAATTGGCACAGTCACCGTGTTTCATCGTGCAAAGTTCAAACAAGGTCTAACTCGTTCCTCTGTTTCTATCTTGCGAAGCAAGACAATGACTGCGAAGTTAATGAGGCGAGTAACTAGCACGCAGCTAACTTGTTAAAACCTGGTTCTTTTGTTTTAGCGTGCGAGCTTGCCGTGTGCGTGCGTTCACCTTATTCCCTGAAATCCCGTGGAGGGTCACAAATGTTATAGAAGCTGCTCCAAAACTTAGCAGAGGATTGCATTGCTCTTCAAGCTTTGCGATTGCAGAAATTTTTTTTGGGATCACTTTCTGAAGGAGCTTAGAAACCAGGCTCA